AGGAGAAAAAACTTACGCTCAGCCTCGCGACGCCAATGTGGCCACGTCCAATGGGCTATATTTTCACATAACTCAAAAACTATTCAATGAAACTGACTGAACTTTGGACGCCATTTGACAGACGTCGTTTTCTTTGTGTGGGCCTCATCACCTTCCCCGAGACGGTCTTGGTCATCGTGTGCATGGCAGAGCAGCATGAAGCCAGTGTCGCTCTGGCCATTAGAGAGAGAGGAGGGTGCGCCGCTCGGCCCTTTAATTATTCCATGAGTTTTTGTGTTATATTATTTTTCCTTATATTCTACAAGCTTTGTTCTTTATTTTGGTATATACTATAGTACACATCAGTGAACACCATAATACTGTACAAGCAAAATGTGAATGGAACTCGAGATGTTACTAAACATTTTCCTACCTTTTCAACTTACCTATACTCAAAAAAAGTGGCTTAAATTTAAAAAAATGTAATTTTTTTGTGGTTTCATACAATTTTTTAGACAATTTTATGTTAGAAGAGATCCCATTCCAATTCATAAAACAACTCCATGGCAGTGAAATGAGCCCTAAAAAAATAAAATCAAAGATTTTTGGGCAAAAACCTCCGAGGCTGAGCGTAAGTTTTCATGCACGTATGTGTCTCAGGCTCCGGGGCTGAGAGGGTTAAAAAAAACATACAAACAGAAAACTCAATACAGTACTGCACAGGCAGGGACGGATCTAGACAACAGTGGGGGGTCCAAGAAGTTGTGGGTGGAGGAACATGGTGAGCAGCTGGGGGGCACTGTAAGCCCCTCCAGAAAACTTTTTGAAACCTGACCAATATCACGGGCATTTTGAGGCCATATTAAGTTCAGGTGCAATTGATATTAGGAAATATTCTGAGGTCACTAGTATAGTAATGAAATTTTACTATACAAAAATGCCGGAGTACAATACTGCATTAAGGAAAAGGTATTGGAATGTTCTGATGAAAAGGGGGGTCCAGACCCCCAGAACCCCCCTCTGGATACGCCCCTGACAGGGTACCATCCTTGAAGCAGGTAAATACTGCCTCGTTGGTTACAGGACAGGTTGGAGCTTACCATATAAAATCCAACATTAGGCATGCAAAATTATAATACCTATAGAGGATATTAAAGAGAAATGTAACCACTGTATAAGTTAAAAGAAAACAAAGAAATGCAAAGAGAAGACAAGTTACTGGGAACGCAAGTACTACTTGAAATTAGTGGATGATCCAAACTTTAACATGTTCATCATTATATGACCATTTTCCATCCTCTCTAACAAGTTTCCACTAACAATTGCTTTTATGTTTGCTAAAATTAAAGTACAGTACAGTACCATCAAGTGATTTTGAGAGTACACTTGTGTATGAAGAAAACCTTTTTAATTATCATTTTATGATGCATGTACCGGGTAATCCTTATCTTGTTTCTTAATAATACTGTACAACATGCCCTTAAATTTTCCGGGGATTTGGGTCTCAAAATGGCTGCAAATTCCTAAATCCGTGAATATTATTTGCTGATGATGGGGAATGGTTACATTTTTTGTACATATGTAAAAAAAAAATTGGGGGCCATTAATATATTTTGTTTTTACATTACAGTCAACCCTCGCTTTACGCGGTGCCCTGCCGAACACGGAATGCTCACTTTCCGCGGTGTGTGTACCCTTATACGCGGAGGGCGGCGCGAGCAGGGTGCACACAAGGTCGCCCAGTCATCAAAACATTACCGAGTCTTCACCAGCCACCCACCACAGCCGGCCCAAGTCAGTGATAGTGATAATGATAGTGAGGATATGGACATTGAGGGGTTTGACAAAGAGGCCCTGCAAGCCTCTGTGGTGGATAGTGATACAATTGATACAAGTGATACAGGTGAGGGCCAATAATCTGCCCTCTGCCTCGGAACCAACCCCCCATCCCCGTGTGCCCAGCCATCATTTCTACTAATGTAAGTGTTAAAAAACCTAATATTATTGATATTTCTCTTAATTATTAATTGTGTGTGCATACCATCATAAAATTAAGAAGTTATTTTTACTACAACGTAGGTATTGTGTCTGAAAAAGTGGAGTTTGGGGGTCGGCCCGGTCTCCATTTCAATTAATCCCGTATGTTATGTTGTTCACTTTACGCGTTTCTCACTTTACGCGGGCCGCCGTGGGTTCAATTGACCGCGTAAAGTGAGGGTTCACTGTATTTTAAGAACAGTTGAACCCTCAAAGACCTGGATTAAAGGGGAGACCACCTGTCTGATAAAGCTGATTGTCCATATCTTGCGGCGGCTGATGAACTAAATGTAGACAAACGATAAATACGGATATAAAAAACACCCAAAATACAGGACCATATTTTACAGCGTATAAGACACATCCCCTATTTTAACAGTGAGTACCTAAGATAAAACTTGTGTGTATTTTCCTCCAGTAGTTTCCTTAAAATAATATACCGTATACAGTCCCAGTAAATGTGAGGAATAAATAAAAATAATACCAATAATTAAGTTACAACCAAAAATACTGTACTGTATTGCCAAACCAGGAAATAAAAGTCAAATGAAAATTTAACACCTCACAGCGTGGCCCATTAGCCTGGTGGTTACAGTAATGAGTCTAACCTAGCTACAATGCCTTGATTAAGCACTATTATATCAGTAAACACTAATGATAACAGTACAGGACAAACGCAGGTCATCCTGTAACATCATATCACCATTTGGCCTGCCTGTATCACAAGCTCAAGATGACCGCATCTGCTGATGAGTACAGTACAGTATAGTGTATACTACAGTACAGTGGGGTATGCTATAACGAACGTAATTGGTTCCAGAACCTCGTTCGTTATAGCATTCGTTCGTTATAGGATTAATCCGTTCCAGGCCCCCAAATACAACCACTTAACACTGAAAAAATTCTGTGGAAAATGTAAAAAATATGGTACTTTATCTTACCTTAGTGTTATTCAGCATGCAGGTACCCCTAAACACTGGCACATCACTATCACTTCCACTGGGAGTCTTGGCTTTAAGGTCCTCAAACAATTCTAGCCTTCTCACAAAGTATAGCTTCACTAATGTTATCACCTGCCATTTCTTTCTCCTTTATCCACACTAAGAGTAAATTTTCCATCTCTTCAATCACATTACACTTTGCTTTGCTAAGTCTAAAGATTCCCTTAGCCACTTGCACAGTTTTTAACTCCTCTTTATTCTTCAAAATCGTACATATAGTCGATTTAGCCATCCCATATTCATCACTAAGTTTCGCAATGCTTCTTCCATTCTCACGTTTCTTTACAATTTCTTTCTTAGTTTCAAGGGTTATTAGCTTTCTCACTCGCTTTGGACGACTCATTGTTACAATTGTATACTTGTATAACAAAATAGTTATACAAATAACGCGAATTTCCACATCAAAAGACGAAATTTCAACAATAACAGTGGTGCACTGGCTACACAATGAGACAAAGATGGCACCTGACGCTCTTGTTGTGGGTCGCGGTACAACAATATTCATGCGCCAGGCGAAATAGTCCGGTATTCATCCGCGTTCGTTGTAGGAGTTGCCTTCGTTATAGCATTCTCAATTTTATAGGTAAAACCATTCGTTATAGGAATATTCGTAGTAGGATCCGTTCGTTATAGCATACCCCCACTGTAATATATTTTGATTATTTACAATATACTCTACATGTACAGTGGTGTTTGCTTAAATAAATACAGCTATCTGTCTGTCTATGTAATTTAGACTCTTGGAAAACTTTCCCCAATACCCTGAAAAATTTTGGGTTTGTGCAACTTTTTCTGGGGATGAGAAAATTCATCTCTACACCTGGAAATCTCTCAATGCAATCCTGCAATAATTCTGCACCAATTATTCTGACTAATGGAGATATTACTATAGTGTCCAAGAATCTATCTAAAGCAGGGGTGTGGGGAAACTTTTGAGGTCGGAGGGCCAGATTAAAATTATAAGAGTTCTTCAGGGCCACCTATCATTTTCAATATTAATTAGGTACAGTAGAACCCTGATTATCCAGTGCCTATGGGGATTGAGAGGTGCCGGATAGAGATATCCCGGTTAGTTGATCACTCTAAGGACCCTACAATGCACAGTGCTACAGGTTTACCTCTCAAATTTGTATCTCAGAAAAATGGACTTAGCTAAGACTTATTCTACTCTATATAAATGATGTAGCTTGGAAAGTGTAATATAAAATATGAAATAAGAAAAATGAGAAATATGGGTGTGTATGTGTGGGAACTGAACATTTGTTGAGGTGGTGGGCTATAACTGTGCTTCCGTCCAATGTGACACACACAGCTGGGTGACTGCCTGGCTGAACTGTGTCATGTGTCCCAGAGGAAGGTTTGACTGTGGAAGGTGCAATTCTTTGGCCATAAAATATTTCCTATTGTATTTTATGATATACAAGTACGTACAGTATTATGTATAAATTTTATGGTTTATCATATCAATAAATATGGCAGCTCATCCCCCGTGCACGTGGTATTCAAACTTATGAATTTCGCTGATTTTGGAGGAATTTTTATTAATACTGTGGTTCATTTTGGTGCCGGTTAGTTGAATCTGCCAGCCACTGGACTCTGGATAACTGGTTCTACTGTAATAATCTATGTAGATTTATTGGATATAACCGCTACCCCGAAGCATCATCCTAATACAGTTCTGTTGTTTTAAGTTACGATAGTCTGATAATAGCATATACGTATATTTTATCCAAATCTATCAACAAATTCTATACCCCCGAGTCTCCCCATAAAAAAGAAAAGAAAAAATTAACTCGGTAAGGACAGAGGCCATGCTGAAACCTTCGTCCCACTGTCCTTTCCAATGATTATCTTGCCATTTCAGAAGTACCGTACTGTACAGTAATGGCATGTTCTTCACAGACGAGTTAAAATGTATCACAACTAAGGCTATATACATCCACCAAAAGTTGTGTGCTCTAAGGATATTAACAGAACCACAAGTAAATTAATCCATGTATTATTACCAGAGGAAAACAGTTGCCAGGAAAGACAAAAAACACAACTTGTGAATATTCTAGTGAACAGGACATAAGTGAAATACCTTTAAACAGTTGTAGCCATTATATTTTATTTGGTACTGTAAGCACTGATAAGTGAGTTCTGTAAACACTAATGTAAAATTGAAGAGCTATGAATATTTCAAGCATTTATTTATAGACTGTGAAAGTTGGCCATAAAAATTCATAATTGTCATACCAGTCACATAAAACAATAATCTACCATACAGTACAATATACAGTAATCAGATTTAATGGACTGTATGAGGTATTTTATTAAAAGCAGTAGCTAGTGACCAAGCTGTAATGTAAAGTACAACACTTAAGGGGCTATGAGATGGCGTTCGTGTGGACATCTCCCACTTTGTGCAGGCTGGCCATTTTAAGGCCAGTGCAGCACTTGACCTGACTGATGGGAGCATCTTACACTTGAAACTCACTTCCCCATTTGTTTCATCATCAACTGTTGCATCTGCTGCTGGAGTTTACCAATGCTGTCACGTTTGCTTTCAGAATCCTTTTCCAACTTCTCCATTGTGTTGTCGTGACGTTTGCTGGAAAAGGAAAGAATGATAGAGGTATTTGTTGTCCCTGCGCCCTCCTGCTATGAATGCCTCTACAAATAAAGGTCATTTATATGTTGTATACAAATATTAACAACCTTTTAGTTAATTTTTGGTTTGTTAGTGCAAATAATTACATAGTGCTTGAGAAGCAAACAGCCCTTACTAATGTAGCTATTAAAAGATCCACAAATTAGTCATATGATAAATAATTAGTAGAAACAACTACAAAACACTCACATCTCTTGCTGTATGTAATCTACTCTCTTGTTGACATTCTGCCGAGCTTCCTCCAGGTCCTGACGAATGAGGGCTGGTCCAATTAACTTGTATACCACATTTTCTTCATTGATCAAATCCAGCTCCTGTGAAGATATTCATGAAATGAAACAATATTCAGATATTGCTGTACAGTAGCTAATATGTTTTACATGCCAACAATTATGCTAAATCCTTAATATACTGTCCAGTAGGTATATTACTGTACAGTAGTCATAACAGCTTTACTTTAAAATATAAATTAAGAGAACTTCAACTTGATCATTATAAAATAATACAATATAGACCTTTTACACTGCTGTACGTGTATTCTGCTCTCATAAAGTTATCCTGTATAATTCAACCAAATATAACTCTCTAAAGTTATTAAACAGCATCTCACCCAAATTGTTTTATACAGTATTGGTGAGAATATTTACTGGTAATCTACACTCTTATAATCATTGTTGTAAAATGAATACTGTAAAAAATGTTGTTGAATAATATAGTGTGTTTAGAGGCTTCATGTATAGTAATATGAACACTATCTATCTTGCCACCAATAAACGACCACAAATAAATTACTTATTACAGTTATGAATTAATTGTCTGTATGAATTGAAGTGTTGATTAATGCACTGGCAAATTTGTCACCCGAGCAAAGAAGTGATTTTTGAACCATTCATTTCAGAAAGTTTCATTGTACTAAGACAACAAGATTGTATGGAGAGTTCACCTTTGGTTTACTGGCAAAATCCCATTGAATCATACGGTGTAAAACTCCCGGCAGTATTTCACATGTGAAACAGAAAGTCCCTGTACTGTACACAGCAGGTTACAGTACAGTACATTTCTCTTACCTCTTTTACAACTTTATTTTCATTTAGTTGACCATCAAGCTGCGACCTTAAATTGGTGGTCTTAGACAAATCTGGAAATAAAATCAACCTTATAATAATCATAAAAATACCAGCCATAAAACTATCAAATGAAGAAATAAAATTCAGTACAGCACAGTACAGTGTGTACAGTATGAAATAAAATTGACTATGAATACACTCACTGCCTTGGTTAATGATGCAGTTTCGAGCTTCATAAATATTTAATACCAGTCTGACCAAACTTAATTATAAAATCAGAAGGTTTGGTCAAGTTGGGTTAAGTGAGTGGTGCTGGGTTAACTTGATTCATACCATCTTTAGTAATATATAGTACTGTGACAGAGAAGTGCTGGTTAACAAGTAAATTAGATAAATTTTCTATGAAAGAGAACTTCTTTCTTACCTCAAAACTATCCCTAAAAATGAGGAGCATTTGTAATTTTCATAAGTGAGTTAGATAGCTTTGGTTAGTTACCTTATCTATGCTAATCATATTTGGTGATTGTGGCTGGGAAGTAGTTATTTGTTCCTATCAAAAAAAATTCCACCTAACAGCCAATACAATGATTATTCATGCTAGGATAGAGGTAAAGGTATGATAGGTAGATTCATATTGAAAGGAGGAAGGTCAGTCAATCGCTCGCTGGGAACCATTCAGTCATTAAGCATCATAAAGAGAGCGGTGACATCTTTATTTATAGGATAAGAAATAAGTTTTCCTCTATTGAGATGTTTCATTAGGTATAGTTCAATAACCTAGACCCTTGTTCTTAATTATTACCATTAACACAAACTTACAAGTCTCACACATCCATCTTCTGTAAACAAAAAATGTGGTAATCTTACATCAGAGTATTACTTCATCTTTCATTAATAAATGTTTCATTATACAGTAGTCCAGATCAACAAAATAAATAATATAAAAATCTCAAAAAATATCTCGAGGTGACATGAGATGGATGATGAGTCACTTCCCTTATTGACTGTATTTGATGATTATTTAAACACCTACATGATTGTTTTAACACCTGTGAGTTTGTTTTTCACCATTACCACACCTTTTTGGCTCTTCTTATAGTATTCTACCTCCTCTTCTAGTTTCTTCTGTAGTAATTCGGGACCCATGGTGGAGGAGGACGACGGACTACACACCTAAAGAGGTTATTGACACACCTGGTTGTTAACTTGGTGTGGAATTGGTTTATTTTGTTATATATAGTGTAAAGTTATTTAGTAATTTAGTGAAAAGTAATGAAAAAGTTTAATTGGTCTTATTTTTATTAGTCTATTCGTAGTTAATTATATATTATTGTTTGTATGGTTAGGTGATAAAGTAATAATTATTTATATATTATTTGGTCATAGGTTAAGTTTTATATTTTATTCAATATTAGTAAATATATTATTTTTGTTTTCCGTTTGCTCCTGAACCATGGAATATAAATATTAAACATATCGTAGCCCCTTTAAGAAACTATTAAATCATCCAGACAATAACAAATAATAATTTTCACTTAATATTAATTTATTCATAACGATTTTACAATAAATAAAGTTGTAATCACTTTAAAACCTTATGGTAGGTGAGTATAAGGACTAAAGTCTCTTCCCTCAGTGTGGTTACCATGACAACTCAGGTGTAAACAAAACACTGTGTCAAGAGGTGAAGAGTGAGCCAGGTTTTAAGGCTTTATTAAACGGTATAGCTATACTAAATATCCATAATCTTTTAATTTTTTACAATATGTTTGGTATCTACAAGAGGATAGTTGAACTTACAAACAATTGGACTTACAAACAAGCCTCAGGAACATAACTCGTTCGTTAGTAGAGGAGCATCTATACCATATTATTTTATTATTACTGTACTGTATTTACTTTTGGTTTCTTTATGATTGAAATTGTGGTAAAATTTTTGTTATATATATTTTAATCCCGTGTTTAAAGCTTTATTAGTGTGTTCTAAATAGGTTACCAGCCATGATCCTGGGAGACAGGCCACATGGAGGATTATCATCACCAAATTTCTGAAATCCAAAAAGCTGTGAGGGAAAGGTATGGGGGTCTTTTTATTTAAGAATTTTTGAATGTAAAATATTGGGAAGTTAGAATTCTGTAGATAGATAACTAGATTGTCAGATAGTTCAGTATTTCAGTAAAATCTTACAAGTTAACATTGTTTCAGCATATATGGTACTTATACAGCACAATACAGTATACATGAGCCTGTATAGTCTAGTGTACAGTATACATGAGCCTGTATAGTCTAGTGTACAGTATACATGAGCCTGCATAGTCTAGTGTACAGTATACATGCTGAACCATTTGTAAACATTTTTGATGATTTTATTGAATAAATGGGTATCTATCTGTCTGTCTTATCTATTTGTCTGTCTGTCTGTCTATCTATTTGTCTTTCTGTCTGTCTGTCTATCCTATTTATCTATCTGTCTGTCTGTCTGAGTTTATATATATAGGTGTATCTATCAATATCTATCTTTATATCTATCTATCAGTGTTGGTAAACAGTGTATTATAATCAGTAAAATCAGTTTTTCAGGACTTAATTTACTGTTAATAAAAGAGTTCATGAAAATTAATTAAAATACAGCATAAGGAAATGTGATTCAGTGTTTGTAATGTTCTGCCATTTTATCCTGTTTTGATAAAGTGTGATGCTGTTATTAAGACCACATTCAGTACAGTATATCAGGACATCCTGTAGTGTGTAGTTTATTATCACTCTTCCCAACAGGGAGATCCATCGTCTCCAGCTAGAGAAAAAAGTGTTAATGAAGACCCATAGAAGAGAAAAGAGGTAACCTATTCCTGGTACACTACTCTATTAGGATCTGGTCACAGGAGCTATTTCATATGAAGGAAGTTTGTGTCAATGCTGCCTAACCCCTTCACTACAGGAACACCATTTATAATATTTTATTTGGCTAATGCTAGATGATTTCATTCAACACAACAGTGACCTTGTACACAATGGGTTAAGAGCCTTTGAGACATCTTTGAGATGCACCACTGTACAGTTAGTAGTAGCATGAGGGATTATAATACAGTAATGTGAAGGATATTTGTATATTTTTTTTTAAGTTTACTTGAGATAAATTAATTAATATTAGTATCATGAAAGACTTGATGCCCCCCTTTGCACTTTTTTGTTAGGATATTGAATAGGTAAATAACATATATGGTAAGATTATTGTACTAGTTCATAGGGGCTCAGTATATACAGTTGCGAACAAGGGTCCTGTCACCTCTCCTCCTGCTCCACGACCCCCGAGATTCAGACTCGTGAACCCAAAGCATTAGACAATGATGTATTATTCTATCCAAAAATGCTTTGGATTCATGAGTCTGAATGTTTGGGTTCATGGAGCAGCAGGAGAGGTGATAGGACTATTGTGTGTTGCTATACGTAAACTGACATACATACAGTGGCAAATAAGCTGATTAAACAAAGGCTAACCCAAGGATGGCGGGTAATGAGTTTTCTTTTATAAATCAGATATGAAGAACTGCAGGATAAAATCAAGGAACTACACAAGGAACTCATACGTGAAGAACTGGAAGCAACTCAGCGTTTCCAGAAACTACTCACCCAAGTTGATGCAGTGAGAAGAGAACACCAACTATTGGCTGCCCATACAGAGAGACTCCGACTAAAAAAGGTATTGATAAGTGTGATCAAACAATGTCAGTTATTAAATGTGTTGTAAGCCAGAATAATCAATGTTTTTAAATGCAACTAACTGTGCATTTTAAGGGGTTTGACAGTTGAGTGAATACAGTGCTTGCCTCTTGTCTTAAAGTACACTGGTTCATTGTCAGAGTACTGCCAACCTCCCTCCACCTCCGTAGATGTAAATGGATACCTGACTTAACAGTTGGGGAAATACAGTCAGTCAAGTGGAAGTGTTGGCCAAGCTGCTTCTTTGCATACTGAGGTCTTAGTGTACAGTGTGCTCTATCCACAGTGACTCTAACAAGCAGTTATAGCTATGGAACTCACTTTATCACCTTATACTTTTACTCATTATTTAGTTGAAAAACTGATAAACTCAGGTGTAAAATAATGATAAACAAGAAAACGATTCTCAAGTACTGTTCTGTATGGATAGTTACCATACATTTTTTTCTTGGTCTGTTGCATCACATTTGGTCCTTCCTTATCTGTACACTATACTGTATTCACTCATATCATGTAAATGAGCTTTGTTTACTTTTCCTGTAGTATTCCTGCCATTCATATAGCCATACAGTATTACAGTACTGTTCACATCACTATTTCCTAAAGTAAATACTACTTATAATATACCAGTAACATAGCCATCCAATTCATTATACTGTACTGCACTGTACTGCACTGTACTGTACAGTACTGTACAGTACTGTACTCACTCCACTTTTGTCAGATATCACCTCTAAAGGGCTATAAACCTCCTGCTCTTGTATATTACCGTGGCGCCACATATCATCAGTGTACGTAGTATGTTATCCATTACACTTTCACACACTCCTAAATCACACATTATGTACTGTACTTTCTCTTCATTTATCTCCATTAGCTGGAATCTCTCTTTAGCCAGAACTCTCCAATAGCCAGAATTGAAATTTCCTTGGAAATTTACAGAAAATTTATCTCAATTCCTGGTTTGGGAACCCTTCTCCGAGGTTTAAAATCAGGCGCATTTTTTTTTTTAATTCCGGAAACTTTTTCCAAATTTTTTCCGGGTATGAGGCAAATTCTGAGGATGAAATACTGTGTAATTCTGGATAATACAGAGAAAGTTTGTGAAACTCTCCAAATTTTGTTCTGGTTCTGGGAACATATTCCATAGATGAAATACGTAATGTACAATTTCCAGAAAATTACGAGAAACTTTTCCCAGTACATAGCTGGAAAAATTTCAAGGATGTGGGATTTTTTCCAGGTTTGAGAGAGTTGTCTCGTTAACCTGAAATTTATCATTCCTGGAAGTGTTCTGCACCAATTGTTGGAGCTAATGGAGATATCACTGTACGTATATGACTTTTTGTCTTTTTTTTTATCTTCTTTGCCACTGGTTGACTCGAGCCAGTCAGTTGTTTCTACTGTTGGGAAATACTGGATATGTACTGTCATTAGATGGTACCAGAACAAGCACCAGTCTTGGTCAAATCTAGTCTTAAATGAGCTGCCATCACAACATTCTCAGGCAGGTTATTCCAAGACGTCTCTATTCAGTAAAATTATTATACAAGTTTGTATGTACAGTATATTATGTATGTTGTAGGTATACCATGTATGTACTCTATATATATATATATATACATTACTTCTCTAGTCAGCAGCGTGTGGCAATGCCCCCGTTTCATGTCACCACACGCTTGTCTAAATCAAATGTAAGTCTGTATATTTTCAGCCACTGGCTGCAACTCTATTAATAAACCGTTTATTATTATTATTATTATTATTAGATAAATGTGCCTGGCGACATCTGGAAGCTGCTAATGTACCACTTACCACATGTCGCCTGAGAGGTCAGAGAGAGGTCAATTGACCCCTATAGAAGTGTAAGGACTACCCGCGCTTGTAAGCGCACCTTGTATATTTCCGTTAATAAGAACCTACAGAACTCTACAGGTGTTTAAGTTCGCTCCTGTAGTTAGAACCAAGTACTCCGAACATCTCCAAAGTTTATATTGATTCATCATGTGTCTAGACAATACAGTATACAATTCAGCATGTACAGTACTGTATATGTATAGACAATTAAAGGTATACTCGCTCCAAAAAGTATCTTTACTTAGGAATTTGATGAATTTCAAAATGACTCCCGTTTCTTGGTCGGGTTTTCAAAAATCTATCGTCCATTGTGTCATATTGTCTCACACAGAAAACATACACAGTGTAGGTATACAAAACATGTATCTAGACTGCAGCAGATATACAAACAGTGGTAAACAGTGGGATAATTCAACTATGGACAGCCAACAAAACCATCAACTACTGTACTTATTTCCAGTAGGTCCTTTTCTTAGGTTTAATCAGTAATACCAAATCTCCAATATAACATTCTGTGACTACTGATACACAAAATCTCTTCTCTTGCCCATTCACCAAAAGTTTTTTCTCAATTCATATTAATTCATCTTTGTGATGTTTTCAAACTTGCTATATAATCTGAAACTCTTACCAGGATTTTTCCATTAAAACCGTATCTTTAATATTCAGTAGAACCTTCAGTGACCTAAAAATGTGATGTAACTTCCTGTACATATTACTTCCTTGAGATAAATGTACAGTATATATCAGGTGCCTACAGGAGAGCCCAGGTTCTCAACTGGCTCAGCCATATTAATACTGTATTGTTATTATTATCCACTCTGTATCTGTGTTTTTCTGGCTAGATAAACAGTTTCAATTAAATTCAATACCAGAAACTGACTCACCTTACAGGACCTATTTCAGCGTCAGTATGAGATGCAGATAGCCAACACTTACCCTGGTCTTCAGTACACAGGACAAGATGATCGGTATCATAACTTTCAAAGTTCAGGTAAGCAATTTCTCGTTAAGTCTTAAAGAATATATCCACCTTTCTGTTATATACATACCAATACTGTACAGTACTGTACAGTATACATTATATATTTGTTGATGATATAATATCATATAGCAGTCCCTTACCAACCATGTGTTGCCAACCATGGTTTTGAGTTTCAGTGTTCTATATTTTGTACACCATTTTACCAGCCACAGTGTCCAGACTAAAGCATCTGCAGGTTACCCATAAATACTGTATGAAAAGAATAAGTAAAAAGAATGTTTCGCAGTGAGGACTAATAACGGCTTACACCAGCGCTCTCTGTTTACATCACGCGATCAGTTGAATCGTGCGGTTTCTGTCAATTTCCGTGATTTTTGCTATTTTCTCCAATTTTGTTGTGTTAGCTATGAATACGGAAAGACAAGGTAAGAAGAATGTTTCCGAGAAGCTTTCTTGTGATCGAATTGCTGTCTGTGAACGTAAAAGAGGTTTACAGGAATGCAATTACCGTGTTGTAGCCTGGCCCATCCTAGCGACCGCCCGGGCTGTTATTGTGTGCTTTTTTGGGTGGTGCTTCCACCTGTCGAGTCAAGATAATGGCCTCTACCTCTACTGGGGGTCCTACTGGTGCTGGTGGGGGTGGGACAGACCCACCTAAGCAGCCAAATAAGGAAAAGGAGAAGTGGGACTATCATAAAGGAGTTAAGTTTGCCAAATACTTGATGCAGGATAAGCAGTGTGTGGTTAAGTTACTTGAGGAAGGCCTAAAAACTAGTTTCAGGAAAGCACAATCAGGTCAATAAAGACAGAATTTGTATCATTTGGAGGTTATAAATGGGAAAATCAGAGGTTGATGTAGAGTAACCAGTCTATATTGTTATTTTCCCATTAGTTTATGTATTTGCATTTGGTAAATTTGAATTTGGTTCAATTTTTCCCATCTATAAAACTCGTGAAATACAAGATCTTCCTGTAGTTTTCTGTAATATAACAAGCATTACATTGCACTTGGACTATCCAAGATTGGCAAATCACTTCAACAAGACAACATTCTGTGATTAATAATATAGAAACTTTCTCTCTTCTCTTGCTGTTGCTTCATATGCTGTGACTTATTTTCGTTTTAGCTGAGAGGTGCTGCTGTACAAAGCATTTGCTTATAAAAACCTTATAGGGGACAAAAATTGCATACACACATTTGTGTTTCTAAGTGGAGCAGTGTTGCTAAGGAGAGCATTAAGTCTAGGCAGGCACACAGTGTCAGGGGTTAGCTGCTCCATAGCATTATATTGTTCCATCAAATGTAAGGCATTAAAGCCCAGTAGCCTCTAGACAGTGGTGCTGGCACTACTGTACTTCAGAATTTGTTCACACATGCCAAATGGTTCTGGAAAAACCATTGTGAAAGTTATTATTGTATATTGTATAGTATCCTAAACTTATTTATCCTTTGTTGATAACACATAAAGTAAAGTAAGACTGTTGTTCCTAAAGATATCCAAAATACCATAATAAGACTGTGTAGATATCATTGTAGTGTACAATACTGTATATCATGATAACCACATAACCTTGTCCACAAGTTTTGAATATTGTCTAACTGATGAAAGGAGCCAAATCATCACTCAAAATAGCATTAAATAAAACCTATTCGTATACAGTAAGTATATCCGATGAAACTCTTTAATATCACCTCAGCATTCACACAATTAATGAGAATTAATATGTTCATGATTAAAAAAACAAAGCATTTATAATTATGAATTTCCAGGACCATTTCTCGTAATGTCTAGAGTTGACCCTAACAGCCTTCCTTGTTTTTTTCAGGAAGAGCAGGTAGAGGGATCGTGCCTCAGAGAGCCAGTACTCCTGTCTCCACCCTGCCTCTCTTCAGATCCGTTGCCACTCCACAACCACATATATCACCAGTAGTGTCTACATCACATTACTGGTCTGTACAGCCTCCAGTAAACTTTGTACCTCCTGCTCAGACAAGTCCTCATACTTATGGACAACAGCCATTAAATGTAGCCAGACCTCATCTCCAAACATTTGGCCCTCAGGGATCTCCCAATCCTATCACAGATGCACAGACATATCCAGAAACTAATATTAATATGCCAACTGATGCAACACAAAGATCAAATCAATTCTCTACTCCATCTTTTCAATCTAATTACATTAAAAATCTGATTGCTGAAGAAAGTTCTGTGTCAGCCATAAGGGATTCCTCACAGTCTGGAGAAATTAGTCAATCTTTATCTGAAATGCAAAATGCCACAATTATGTCACATGATTCCAGTCATTATAATCCTATGCATCACCAGGAACTTGGCCAAACTTTACAGAGCCAACCATTGGTAGTGCACTCCTCTAGAGATTCAATTTCTGGTGTTCCTGGTATTACCCCACAACAGGCTGTGTGTTATCCAAATTACATTATAACACAGAACTTACAAACTCAACAACCACAGCTCCAGCCATCCCACCATAATAATTCTCTTCTAAAACCCTTAAGTGGCTCACAAGATGCAGAGACGGATAATGCCATGAGCCTTGCGCACCTAACAGATAAGGAAACTCCATTTTTGTCTGTCAATTCATCACATGGTTTATCTGCAGTTCCATCACACAATGTAATCCATGGTGTTCCAGATGCAATGAATAATTCTTATCAGTCTGGTCTCCAATCATCCTTTCACGAGTCTTTCACGCATATAACTCCTTCGGTACACAAATTATCTGAAGCTACAGACATTGACTCTGTAGGGAGGGAAACAGGGAATAACCATCAAACTGTCACTCAGACCTTTAATACAGTTAGAGGATCAGGAAGAGGTATTAGAGGAGAGGAGTCTGAGGCCACCCAAGACATAGTTGAACAACAGGACATTATCCCAGAGGAAGCATCAGTTGAACAAATTCCTTCAGGCACAGACAGTCAACTATTACAGGAACAGCAAAGCATAAGCACTGCCCATAATGAATTATATACAAGAAACGAAAATATGGAGCAAGGGGAAGAAAGTTCAAATAACTTATCTGCAAGACATAAATTAAATGACAACAGGACAAAAATAATTGAAACAAATACGAACACCTTTGGAGGTGGAAGCATAGAAACAATATCTCACACAGGAAATGAAGTTAGCATTGAAGATGGTGAACTTGATGAAAAATCAGTCCATGAATATCACAAGAAAAGCAGTGAATCATTCCCTGTCCATAATGAGGTGTTACCCACAGCCTATGGTGACTCCAGCATATTTTTAATAACCAGTAATGATCATTCTGCATTACCAAACAAGTCAAATAGTAATAATAACTCCTCCCTGTCACCAGCTGGCAACACTCGCAATGATATCGTGGCAACGTCAACCCAGGAACAGGATATGCTCAAGGTTTCATCAGACACCATGAATCCCAGAGTAATAGAGACTGACGTGGACACACTGGAATCATCTGCTGTTCATATAAACAAAGAAGCAACTCGTGTGGTCAGAAAAGATGAAATTAAGAGGTCACCACATCACTCTCAAGGTGTACGACCCAGTTCCTCTGTACTAATCTCCCCAGAGAAGTTAACCCATCAACCTCCCACTAGAGATAAAAATAATTCTGAAAAACTATCATTGACAGGATCAGAAGTCTCCATGGCCTCACACTCAAAGGCTGCATCACAAGACCAGGAGGAGGATGAGCAAGACTTCTTTGATCGTGATATTCCAGTTACTGGTGAGTAAGATGGTTCATAAGTGCTCCTTCAACTTTAGATAGAACAGTAAAATTGTCAGATGTACAGTACAGAACATAGACAGTTCAGGTATATAATGTACTGTAGTGAAGGTAAACACTGTACCGTCACGCACAGTTCCATCTGTTACAGTGGTTGGTGCATTATGTGAGATGTGGCAGCTTTATGTTTGTATACATCATAGTAAAATTCCCAGAATGATTCTAAGTAACCTCACAATAGTAGCCTGATGCTAGATAAGCATTTCACTTCTGCCTCTGACTGTAAGCATATCAAGAATGGTTTTAATTTTAATACAAGTTACAAAATAGAGTGTCATTGGGTTCTTTCTGTTATCAGCTTGATGGTGGCAGTATTACGAGGTGTTGTGGTGTAAGAAGAGGGAGGGGTGAGGTGCACCAACATACTGTCGTCTTTAGCAGTGTGTCCTCAATTTGTGAATGCTGACATTTTGTAATATGAGGTTTTAGGTAATACTGTATCGGGATAAACCAATGAAACATCATTACACCCGATCTTCTTTATTATGTGGACAACGTTCATACTCTCCATGATTACTGTTTTTCCTAAACCTATGTACTGTATAATGAAGCTTTTCTAAATTCCAAAAGTTATACCCAAGCTCACCTCCATGGTGACCTAATATTTTACTTATCTGTATTCTAATTGACTAATACCGAGTTTGGTATCTATATGAATCACTCATGACGACTCTGAGAAAATATGTGAAGACCAGTCCTGCCATCACCACACACCATGCAGGATAAAGCCTACCACTAACAACATTTACTCTACTGTCTCTTACACTATGCCTCTTGGTTTCTTACCATTAAAAGAAAACTGGTACATTTATACTATATTGTGGAGTAAATTAACGCCTTATTCACAGGCTGTTATTCTTGATGTGTCATATTTCATTGTCTACATGCAAATTAACAGGGTTTGTTAAAAAGAAAAAAATATAACTGCACACATGTCATAAAGCAACCAAGATTTGAAAAAGTAAATGAGGGTACAGGTAGTTCTGCTATAACGCGATAATTGTGTTCTTGTAAAATATCGTGTTATAGAAAATCGCGTAATAGAAATAACAGGGCTTATGGAGAAAATAGGGTTAGGTGCAGATTACTCGAAATCGAAAAAATTTAGTATTTAGCCTAACACAAAGGATAGCACAGTCTAAATAAATGTTACATTCATATCTAATAATGAAATCATACAGTAAATTTAACACTTTACCTTGAAAAAATATGAATGTAACTTGATGGGGGAGAAGGGTGATTTTGAGGTTGATAACATTGAGCTTCTCTTCAAGACGTGCGCTTTTTGGAGATATTCTTCTTTACCATATTCACAGTTAATACCACAAAATTGGAGAAATAGTAAGCAAAAATCGCGTTATAGCAAACAAGCGTTCGCGTTATACAAATATCGTTCCTAATTCATAAATCGCGTTAGAGCAAATTCGCGTTATCAAAACACGCGTTATAGCAGAACTCCCTGTATACTGTACTGTGCTCCTGCATGTAAAGTACAGCAAGAGTTATCATACTCTGTTTGGTGGTACAGGTATACAAACGAAGTACATAGACATTACAGGTATACACACAATGTAATGCATAAACCTTAAAGGTATAGTACACACAAAGGTCATAAAGAGTATTGTACAAGAATACACACAATGTACATAGAGAGCACATACGTTCATACTTTAGAGTGATATACAGCTGAAGAAGGACCATTTCAGAATCAGGCTGTGACAGCTGGATGATTTATTATGTAGAGTTGTATACTATTGGTATCCTGAGTAAAGTATTGTGACTCTTAATTTGAAACCATTATGTATACAGTATTTACATTTCTTTTATACTGTGAAGATATAATACAGGGTTTCTCATTAGACAGAATTATAATGTAGACATTTTCTTAAAGTAACATAGTTGTAAGGTAGCCTTTATTACATAGTTTATTAAGAGAGTGATGTATGTCCTGTTTTATTTCAACAGCTTCAACAGCATATAAGAATCTGGTGGGGAACACCAGAGTGAGTGCAGGATCCTCACCGAGAACAGACAGTGAGAGTGATGATGTTGAGGGGCACATGTCTGCTATCATATCACAGCAGCAGACTCAACCAACAAGGTAACTTGAAATTCCTGCATCACGAAAGTGGATCCCATAGGCATGATGACCTGTTAGGAACAGTGAGGCTGCTGCACACTTAAGCTTTCAGTACACAAGGAGGCAACATGGCCAGCACTGCACTTGGCTACCTTCTCATCCCCAACTATACAGTCAGGTACTGCAAGGTGGACTGGGCATTCCCAAAATCACACAAGCAACCTTTAGGACAGGAGACAAGTGTTGTATCCACTTGACTGCCACACCCATTTAGCTCAATGATTCCTGGGGGACAGTTTTTTACACTTCATTGCTTGTTTGTGTGTAAGTTACATGAGATCTCTAACTGTTGCCTTATCTCTTGCCTTGCTTCAGGATTTTGTCAAAGTTAATAAGTCCGTGATGTTCAAGAATCTACATAGTTTCAGATTTAAAATGAGCTCCAGGAATTGTGTTTGTTGTGCTCTATTATTATTATTTATCTTTTATTTTTTGCAGTAAAATATATATACAGTCTCTCCTTGACTTACGACGGGGTTCCTTCCCGACGACCAGGTCGTAAGTCGAAAAGGCGAAAATAATACATAGAAATTCTAAAATGGGTGTCTCTTTTTTCTTCTCAGCACCATGAGAACTCTCACTTTTACACTTGCCAGCCATTTTAAAGGGAATTACAAACGAAAATTTTGTCAGTACACAGCACGACCACTAACTTCGGGACTCGAAAATACGTAATGTGAAAAATATTTTATACGACCACTGCCGTCGTGTGTCCGGGTTGTCGTAAGTCGAGGAGAGACTGTAGTAGTATATAGAATTAAATTTATCTATGCTTACAAAATTTTTGGTTGCAAAGGTCCTAGGTGTAAGTATAAATGAACAATGTCATATTCCTTCCACATTATACTACATAAATTTTAAATAATGGAATGAAAATAAAAAATAAACATTGTACAGTACAGGTAGTTCTGCTATAACGCGATAATTGTGTTCTTGTAAAATATCGTGTTATAGAAAATCGCGTAATAGAAATAACAGGGCTTATGGAGAAAATAGGGTTAAGTGCAGATTACTCGAAATCGAAAAAATTTAGTAGTTAGCCTAACACAAAGGATAGCACAGTCTAAATAAATGTTACATTCATATCTAATAATGAAATCATACAGTAAATGTAACACTTTACCTTGAAAAAATATGAATGTAACTTGATGGTGGAGAAGGGTGATTTTGAGGTTGATAACATCGAGCTTCTCTTCAAGTGTTATATCCTTTCTTTTACGATCATCACCGGGAATTCTATCACCAGAACACTTCTTGGAGATATTCTTCTTTACCGTATTCACAATTAATACCACAAAATTGGAGAAATAGTAAGCAAAAATCGCGTTATAGCAAACATGCGTTCGCGTTATAGCAAACAAGCGTTCGCGTTATACAAATATCGTTCCTAATTCATAAATCGCGTTAGAGCAAATTCGCGTTATCAAAACACGCGTTATAGCAGAACTCACTGTATTGTACTGTCAAGAATGACAGTCATAGTAGAATGAGTGAGATGCAGTAGGTGGGAGGGAGGGAGGGGGGTGAAATAATGATTTAGGTGGTGATAATAGAGGTGGTGATGGTGGAGCTAGTGGTGAGAAAGGTGGGGGTCACTTACCTTTCGTAATAGTAGAACATTTTCATTAATCGGCAAATGGTTAGTAAAAACTTGTTTTCGTTATAGTGTGGATTCATTCAAATGATTAATGTTCAATGGAGACTTACTGTACTGTACTTGTTGTAATTACTCTTGAAGTAACTTCATTCATTTTACAACTCTCAGTATTCATCACTTATAATTTTTTAATGGTGATTTTTGGTGTTTATATCTGTTATTCTGGATGTGCATTACTTAAGGAGCTAAACACAATTTTCCAATTCCAAGACAAACACCTATCTTTTATTTGTGTCTTGGTAACACAACAAACATATGAATTGTTAAAAAAAATCATGTCAATCTTAAAATAAAATTACATTAAGATTTTCCTTGACAGGCCAACTTTCAAGCCATTTGCCTCCAGCATCCCATCTCTTCGGCCACCAGAGACTGATACAGACAGTGTGGACAGTGTGGAGGCCGCCATACAAACAGCACTGAAAAATAAAAAAGGTACGCAGTGTGAGTTTTATGAGCGTCCTATGTATCTGCCTTATTTGGATGGACAATAGAATCCATTGCCAAATACCTTTCTTTATATAGTATACCAGTTGTTTTGAAAACCACATTGAATGGTCCAAGATTTTCCTCTGTCAAGTTTATCTTACACTTCAGTTTTCTGTGTCAGAATCATGACTTTCTTCACTCTCTTTACACCAGATGCACTACCACCAGTTGGCCTTTTGGGAGCCACGCCAATTGTAATTAACATTAGAATTGCTCTCAGACAAGACTGGCAGGTGAAGCTGGAGAACTTTCAAACGAAACTGGCGGGAGAGAACAGCCGTGAGGAATGCAGCATAATGCCATGATGTAACATCATGGCAGACGCCTGCGATTTTTAAAATTAACATCTTACCTTTGTATGTTATTTTAATAGATAAAAACCTCTGAGGTTGTTTTGTGGATAACTGAATTCATGAGAGTTGAAGTCACATATGATGAGGTACTGGTGTACTAACAGGTTACTGTACACCTGAACGTGTTTATAAACACATGTTTGGGACACATGGTGCAGTACAGTAAGGGTAGAATAAAACTCTAACACCTCAGTTGTGAATTCAAACAGAAGAACTCAATAACAGGAGTGATTGGCACTCCACCGAAACATTAGTGGCCAACCAGTAAAACCTACAAAGTGCTTCCGCTCGATGGGAGGTTTGCCGGGTAGTAGAATTTTTGTTCACATTACCATCCGACTGTACCATTCTTTAGGAGGTTTGTCGGGTAAATGAATTTGCAAAAACTGTGCCATTTTTGGGGAGTTGCTGGATATGGGAGCTTCAACCTTTGTGTGTGTTGCAGGGATGAGTTATCAGTCCTACTTCTGCACCAGACAAAATTATTCTGCCAGGGGGTAAAATTATTCATTTATTGGTATGAGTCTACTTTTAAGTGCTTAAGACTATTATTGATCAATGTAGTCAGATATTGTACGTACAGTACAGTACTGTATATGACTTTTACTATACTTTAATTTTAAAAAGATACTTTTTAAAGTACAACCCTGTAGTAATTATACTTTTACTTAAATATTGTTTTGTCTGTTGTAATTTATTATAAGTAAAAAATTAAGTACGTACAGTATGTACCGAGTGAAACTCTGAGAAGTGAGTGACTGTACAAACTAATGAGGTGGGAAATAAAGAATAAGATTAGACACTGTAAGTAAAGTGAACATTTTCATTATTTACAGACCAGCCATCAGGCAACAGTGTCCCTCATCAGTCATCCCCACCTGAAGACACATCATTAAAACCAACTTCAGTACAAGCTAAGGAAAACATCAGAACTGGCATTGGGGGCAAGGCTCGTGCATCAACAGCTCTCCAGTTAAATTTGGAATCTGATTCAGAATCATATGGCATCAGTGTAGGGGGGGAAGAGGCTTCTGATGAAGATGATTTTGGATTTTATGATTAATTTTGACATTTTTCATAAGAATAATTATAAACCCGAGTCAGTTTTACATTTGTATGGGGTGCAAATACATTTAGAAAGCCTCCGCAGGAAATAATGAAGCACTGTATTGTACTGTAATACAGACACATCCTGATTTATGAAAGGGTTGTCTTCCTGATAAACCTTTCATAGATTGAACAATATTTTCCCATTCCTCTCCGTGCAGACATGGAAAGCGGCCATAAACGATGCTGTTGATGTATAGTGGAAGATTCACCCCTAAGAAAAAATATCCTCCCCAAAATCCTGCAGGTGGTTGGAGCAAATAAATCATTAGCCAATGACAAGAGAATATTATTATGGCATGTTGTGTGATTATGTTAACAGTAGTTAACCATCATAGTGGCAGTAGGAATAGTTCCCCAATTTTAAATGTTACTTACACATATTACTAAACTTTGTGATTTTTTAATTTACTGCAAATGATGTACATTACTATTAAACTGGAACTTCATAATAATGTATAAGCAAAGTTATCAACATTAACTGTTATGTTGTGTAATGTAAACTGCAAATGAATATAATCTACAGACTTGTCACTTCCTCCATTTCTTATGTCAAACTTAAAATATTTGAAGCAACGAGTTTTCTAAAGAAATCTCCCCATTATCAGGAATCCCCGGATCCTGGAACTCTCCAATAGTCAGAATTGAAATTGGGCAAGAAAACTATCACCATTCCGGGTTGTGCGAACGAGTTTCCGAGAATGAGAATCGGGCACATTTTGAGGGACAAAATTCCGAGAAGGTTCCGAGAAAATCTCTCCAAACCTCTCCGTTTTGGGGCAGGGTGATCAGGCTTGGTTAGGTTATGTTATGTATTATTGGTATAATATTTTAATAATATAACTAATACCATCTATAACATTCTCTACCTATTGTAGTCTATTATAATCTCTCCTGGCACATAAGAGGTGTGTCCTAACCTGTAAATTTTCACCTGTGTGTCAATATGTTTAAAATTATGGATCAGCACCACAATAAACACTTGACACACACCACAACTCTTAAAACTGATTATTTTTATGAGCTATGTCATCTAAACATAAACTATGTTATCATAAAATATAGCTCCTGAATATATACTGAAGTACACACGAGCTTTCAGTGGCGACCCTATGGGAGAGAATTTTGGCGTGCTATCTCTTTAAGAGTTAAATATTTACATTTTATTTAATCTACAGATGTTTTCGTTATCTGTGAAAGTGAATCAAAACTTAGTGGATAACTACATTTATATGAAAGGGGATGTTTTTTAAATGGTACAGCAAATCCCGACATCGAACAAGAACTAATTCATGAATATCAGCAGCTTAAAGAGTTCAGGAAGTCATCAGTTGCCCAGAATTTCTAAGGCAAGCAAATTGGTAAACATGAAGACCTGAACAAACTCAGGGCAAACCTGTATGTCAGAGAGAAAGACGTTTGCAGCCTACCACCCACTGAAGACCCATTTGTCTTCCATGTAAAGCGAGCTACACTGTCTTACAATCATGTATTTGAGTCAAGGCTGATTATCCACAACCTGTCTTTCCAGACCCAGACAAAGCCTTTGGGGGCGTCGCACCTTGTAAGACAAATGCGAGGGCCCCAGGGGGCACTGTCACTGGAGGGACCCAGGGGACAGTTGTTTTTGCAAATTTAGAACAAAGGAAGATATGAATAAATACTGCGCCCATCGCATTTCCAATATCATCGCACTATGAACAATGTAAAGGAAACTAAATATCCAAAAGGAAAACATAATTTGGGGTGTTGTGCTGACTGACTGCTCTGTTCTCCTATTGGCTGTTAATTGGACTTACATTTTAGTCCACCAATCACAGTTAAGTAAGGGATTGCTGGACGTATGCAATATGTGTGACACTGACGAATAGCTGTAGGTCGCTTGGCAGGAGGCTCATCTGGTAGGGCCCCTTGGGAGGGGCCTTGAGGGTACTGCCGCCCTTTGGGGTGCCACTGCTTGTAGAAGAACCCCTGGGGCACTGCTGACCCTCAGGAGAGCCCCTGGGGGCATCGCTGCCCCTAAGAAGAGCCCCTGGGGGCGACGTTACCTCCTGGAAGGCTCCTGGGGGCGCCACCACACCTGAGACGGCCCCTGGGTTGGCCTCTTTCGGCGCCACTGCACCTGGTAAAGCCCCTGGGTGCGCCACCACCCCTAGCAGGGCCCCTGGGAGTGCCGACACCCTTGGTAGGGCCCCTGGGGGAACCAACACCCCTGGGAGAGCCCCAAATGGCGACGCATCTGGTAGGGCAAATAGGAGGGCCCTAGGGAGCACTATCACTGGATTGACCGTGGGGGCAGTTATTTTTGCACATTTAGAACAATGGAAGATATGAATAAAAACACCGCCCATTGCATTTGCAGTATCATCGCACCATCAACAATGTAAAGGAGAATAAATATCCAACAGGAAAACATAAGTTGGGGTGTTGTGCTGACTGACTGCTCTGTTCTCCTATTGGCTGTTATTTGGATTTACATTTTAGTCCACCAATCATAATTAAGTAAGGGATTGCTAGACGTATGCAATATGTACGAAACCACGACCCAAAGATATAAGTCTCTTTTCAGGGGGCTCCTCTGGTAGGGCCCCTAGGAGGGCCCCTGAGGGTACTGCCGCCCTTTGGGGCTCCACTACTTCTGGAAGATCCCCTGGGGGCCCCGCTGACCATGAGGAGACTCCCTGGGGGCATCGCTTCAACTAAGAAGAGCCCCTGGGGCCGACGTTACCTCTTAGAGGGCCCCTGGGGGCGACGTTAACCCTTCGAGCGCCCCTTGGGGCGCCAGCACACCTGAGAGGTCCCTTGGAAGCAACGGTGCCTCTGGGAGGGCCCCAGTGGGCGCCATTGCACCTGGTAAAACTCCTGGGTGCACCACCGCCCCTGGCAGGGCCCCTGGGTGTGCCGCCACCATTGTCACGGCCCTTGGGGGCACCAACACCCCTGGGAGAGCCCCTAAGGGTGACACACCTGGTAGGGCAAATAGGAGGGCCCTAGGGAGCACTATCACTGGATTGACCGTGGGGGCAGTTATTTTTGCACATTTAGAACAATGGAAGATATGAATAAAAACACCGCCCATTGCATTTGCAGTATAATCGCACCATCAACAATGTAAAGGAGAATAAATATCCAACAGGAAAACATAAGTTGGGGTGTTGTGTTGACTGACTGCCCTGTTCTCCTATTGGCTGTTATTTGGATTTACATTTTACCAATCACAGTTAAGTAAGGGATTGCTGGACGTATGCAATATTTACGACACCACGACCGAAAGCTATAGGTCTCTTGGCATAGGGCTCATCTGGTAGGGCCCCTGGGAGGGGCCCTGAGGGTACTGCTACCTTTTGGGGTGCCACTGCTTCTAGAAGATCCCCTGGGGGCACTGCTGATCCCGAGGAGAGCCCCTGGATGCATCACTTCCCCTAAAAAGAGCCCCTGGGGGCGACGTTACCTCTTGGAGGGCCCCTGTGGGCGACGTTACCCCTTGGAGGGCTTCTTGGGGTGCCAGCACACCTGAAAGGTCCCTTGGAAGCAACGGTGCCCCTGGGAGGGCCCCAGTGGGCGCCACTGCACCTGGTAAAGCCCCTGGATGCACCACCGCCCCTGGAAGGGCCCCTGGGTGTGCCGCCACCATTGTCACGGCCCTTGGGGGCACCAACACCCCTGGGAGAGCCCCGTAAGGGTGACACACCTGGTAGGGCAAATGGGAGAGCCCCAGGGGCACTATCACTGGATTGACCGTGGTGGCAGTTGTTTTTGCACATTTAGAACAATGGAAGATATGAATAAAAACACCGCCCATTGCATTTCCAGTATAATCGCACCATGAAGAATGTAAAGGAGAATAAATATCCAACAGGAAAACATAAGTTGGGGTGTTGTGCTGACTGACTGCTCTGTTCTCCTATTGGCTGTTATTTAGATTTACATTTTACCAATCACAGTTAAGTAAGGGATTGCTGGACGTATGCAATATTTACGACACCACGACCGAAAGCGATAGGTCTCTTGGCATAGGGCTCATCTGGTAGGGCCCCTGGGAGGGGCCCTGAGGGTACTGCTACCTTTTGGGGTGCCACTGCTTCTAGAAGATCCCCTGGGGGCACCGCTGACCCCGAGGAGAGCCCCTGGATGCATCACTTCCCCTAAAAAGAGCCCCTGGGGGCGACATTACCTCTTGGAGGGCCCCTGTGGGCGACGTTACCCCTTGGAGGGCTTCTTGGGGCGCCAGCACACCTGAAAGGTCCCTTGGAAGCAACGGTGCCCCTGGGAGGGCCCCAGTGGGCGCCACTGCACCTGGTAAAGCCCCAGGATGCACCACCACCCCTGGAAGGGCCCCTGGGTGTGCCGCCACCATTGTCACGGCCCTTGGGGGCACCAACACCCCTGGGAGAGCCCGTAAGGGTGACACACCTGGTAGGGCAAATGGGAGAGCCCCAGGGGGCACTATCACTGGATTGACCGTGGTGGCAGTTGTTTTTGCACATTTAGAACAATGGAAGATATGAATAAAAACACCGCCCATTGCATTTCCAGTATAATCGCACCATCAACAATGTAAAGGAGAATAAATATCCAACAGGAAAACATAAGTTGGGGTGTTGTGCTGACTGACTGCTCTGTTCTCCTATTGGCTGTTATTTAGATTTACATTTTAGTCCACCAATCATAATTAAGTTGGGGATTGTTGGAGGTATGCAATGTGTACGACACTACGACCAAAAGCTATAAGTCTCCAGGCAGAGGACGCCTCTGGTAGGGCCCCTGGGAAGGCCCCTGTGGGTACTGCATCCTCTTGGGGCGCCACAATTTCTGGAAGATCCCCTGGGGGCACTGCTAAGCCTGAAGAGGGGCCCTGGGGGCTTTGCTGCCCTTAAGAAGAGCCCCTGGGGCGACGTTACCCCTTGGCGGGCCCCTGGGGGCGCCACCACACCTGAGAGGCCCCCTGGGGGCACTGGTGCCCCTAGGAGGGACCCTGTGGGCACCACCACACCTAAAAAGACCCCTGGGTGCGCCGTCGGCCCTGGCAGGGCCCCTGGGAGCTCCACCACCCTTGGCAGGGCCCCTGGGGGCACTGACACCTTTTGGAGACCCCTAAGGGCGACGCACCTGGTAGGGCAAACGGGAGCGCCTCAGGGGCACTACAGTATCACTGGATTGACCGTGGGGGCAGTTGTTTTTGCACATTTAGAACAATGGAAGATATGAATAAAAACACCGCCCATTGCATTTCCAGTATAATCGCACCATGAAGAATGTAAAGGAGAATAAATATCCAACAGGAAAACATAAGTTGGGGTGTTGTGTTGACTGACTGCCCTGTTCTCCTATTGGCTGTTATTTGGATTTACATTTTAGTCCACCAATCATAATTAAGTAAGGGATTGCTGGACGTATGCAATATTTACGACACCACGACCGAAAGCGATAGGTCTCTTGGCATAGGGCTCATCTGGTAGGGCCCCTGGGAGGGGCCCTGAGGGTACTGCTACCTTTTGGGGTGCCACTGCTTCTAGAAGATCCCCTGGGGGCACCGCTGACCCCGAGGAGAGCCCCTGGATGCATCACTTCCCCTAAAAAGAGCCCCTGGGGGCGACATTACCTCTTGGAGGGCCCCTGTGGGCGACGTTACCCCTTGGAGGGCTTCTTGGGGCGCCAGCACACCTGAAAGGTCCCTTGGAAGCAACGGTGCCCCTGGGAGGGCCCCAGTGGGCGCCACTGCACCTGGTAAAGCCCCTGGATGCACCACCGCCCCTGGAAGGGCCCCTGGGTGTGCCGCCACCATTGTCACGGCCCTTGGGGGCACCAACACCCCTGGGAGAGCCCCTAAGGGTGACTGTTACGAGTTGGGGATTTAGAATATAGTTATACGTCTACCCAGATCCCAACAGGTAACAACAATAAAAAAAAAACAAAGACAATCGGACTATAAAAGGGTAGACAAAGGATGCGAGTTTTCGTTGTATATAATAGAGTACCATAAATCCCTTAACAAAATATTCAGCTTATAAATTACCCTTAACCAAACTTAACCTAAACATTAACAGTATATACATATTAATACAACATAAACAATCTTGAAGCAAGTGGACGTGGGGGAGTTAATACAAAATACAAGTACTTAAGTGAGGAGCTGAGATGGCTGACGAGTAAGGCTGAGTATTGTAGAAGACGGTAGGTAGTCACTGCACGTAGGTTTAGAGGATAGATGATCCTGTGGTCACTTCCCAGAGCCAAGTGCTCTTTCCTCGAATTGGAGCTGACAAAGAAGACTTTGAGGAGGTGACGCAACAACCAGGATAGGGAGAAGGGAAACCTCGGAGTGGTAACTAAGACGAGTCATACTCGTGTCTCGTCCCTAGATGGCGTTGCTCGTGGTGCTGGGTAGGTAGATCAGGACAATAAATGGCGTGGTTCGTAGTGCTGGGTGGAGGGGTTCGTAACAGTGACACACCTGGTAGGGCAAATGGGAGAGCCCCAGGGGGCACTATCACTGGATTGACCGTGGTGGCAGTTATTTTTGCACATTTAGAACAATGGAAGATATGAATAAAAACACCGCCCATTGCATTTCCAGTATAATCGCACCATCAACAATGTAAAGGAGAATAAATATCCAACAGGAAAACATAAGTTGGGGTGTTGTGTTGACTGACTGCCCTGTTCTCCTATTGGCTGTTATTTGGATTTACATTTTAGTCCACCAATCACAGTTAAGTAAGGGATTGTTGGAGGTATGCAATATGTACGACACTATGACGAATAGCTATAAGTCTCCAGGCAGGGGACGCCTCTGGTAGGGCCCCTGGGAAGGCCCCTGTGGGTACCGCAGCTCCTTGTGGCGCCACCACCTCTGGAAGGTCCCCTGGGGGCACAGCTGACCCTGAGGAGAGCCCCTGGGGCATTCCTGTCTCTAAGAAGAGCCACTTGGGGACACGTTACCCCTTGGCGGGCCTCTGGGGACACCACCATACCTGAGAGGTCCCCTGGGGGCACTGGTGCTCCTGGGAGGGACTCTTTGGGCGCCACTGCACCTGAAAAGGCCTCTGGGTGCACCGTTGCCCCTGGCATGGACCCTGGCAGCTCCACCACCCTTGGCAGAACCCCTGGGGCACCGACATTTTTGGGAGCGCCCCTGGGAGCGTTGCACCTTGTAAGACAAATGCGAGGGCCCCAGGGGGCACTGTCACTGTAGGGACCTAGGGGACAGTTGTTTTTGCAAATTTAGAACAAAGGAAGATATGAATAAATACTGCGCCCATCGCAATGTTACCCTTGGTGGGCCCCTGGGGGCGCCACCACACCTGAGAGGTCTCCTGGGGGCACTGGTGCCCCTGGGAGGGACCCTGTGAGCGCCACCGCACCTGAAAAGGCCCCTGGGAGCACCGCCACCTTTGGCCCCTGTGGGCTCCGACCCCTCTAGGAGAGCCCGTAAGGGCGACGCACCTGGCAGGGCAAATAGGAGGGCCCTAGGGAGCACTATCACTGGATTGACCGTGGGGGCAGTTATTTTTGCACATTTAGAACAATGGGAGATATGAATAAAAACACCGCCCATTGCATTTGCAGTATCATCGCACCATCAACAATGTAAAGGAGAATAATATCCAACAGGAAAACATAAGTTGGGGTGTTGTGCTGACTGACTGCCCTGTTCTCCTACTGGCTGTTATTTGGATTTACATTTTAGTCCACCAATTGCAGTTAAGTAAGGGATTGCTGGACGTATGCAATATGTACGACACCACGACCCAAAGCTATAGGTCTTTTAGGAGCACCGTGTGGTGTGGGGTGGTCAAGGATGTAGTGTAAGTTTGTGTGTGTGTGTGCCATGTTTATTGATAATTTACCTTGTTATTACATTCTTTTCAGTAATCCGGTGCACAATCTTCGTCATAAAAATATTAGAAATACAACTAATTAATTAATTGTAAATATATGTCTAATAAATTTTTGTAAGTTGATTTTTATGACTTAATTGCATAATGATAATGAACAGAATATTATTATTGAGTGTGAAGAAAATAACGGGACGAGGTAGCGGTGTTGAGGGAGAGATAGTGAAATGTGGCGCGCTGAGTCCGTAGACTTTAACGCTGTCATCTTGTATTCGTGCGTGTAATTGTCTCCAATGTGTGTGTGTGGGTGATTATGTAATTATTTTTATGTGTAAGAGGAGAATCATAAATAGAGAGAAGAAGAAAGATACACGAAATATGAATAAAAAAAGATAAAAATAGACAAAACAACAGAGACACAGGCTAGGAAATACAGAAACAACGAAGAACTCTCTCTCTAACAACCAACCATTTCAATCTCAAAGTTAAAAATTTTCCTGTAAATGAAGATATAAGACTTTACCTAAATGACTAACTTTACATTTATCGATATATATTGTGTACAAAGTGTCATCTGAAGAGACTCTACTTTAATTACGAAACATCCACATAACATCACTACGAAACCAAATTTACGAACAGAATCTTAAGTAAATCCGATTTTATTTTTTACAAAACTTACTTTTTTCCAGGATGATCGCCATACAATACCCCCATTATAACGATAACGTGAACTAATACTACTCACACCCTGGAAGCTCACAGCCACTGGGAGGCTGTCCCTTTGGGAGCCGGCCTCCCTGGAAGGCTCCCTGCAGACACCGCCGCCCCTGTGAGAGTCCCTGGAGTCGCCGTGGCCTCTGGGACGGTCCTGGGGGCCACCGTTGCATCTGGGAGGTCTCTGGGGACGCCACCGCCCTAGGGAGGGTCCAAGGGGGCACCGCCGTCCCTGGGAGCGTCCCGGGGGCGCTGGTGCCATTGGGAGGGTCCCTGGGGGCGCCGCCGCCCTTGAGAGTGTCCCTAGGAGCTCCGGTGTTCCTGAAGGTGTCCCTGGGGTCGCCACCGCCTCTGGGAGGGTCCATGGGGGCACCGCCGCTCATGAGTGGGTCCATGGTTGCGCTACCACCCTTGCGGACGCTCCCGCCCCTGTGTAGGACCCTGGGAATGCCACCACCCCTGGGAGAGGGCCTCTGGTGGTGCTGCCGACCCTGGAATGGCCCTTGGGGGGTGATGCCGCTCCTAGGAGGGCTCTGAGAGCGTCAGACCTAGAGGACCCATGGGTGCAGTAGTTTTTGCACTATTTAGAACTCTGGGAGATGCAACGTTAAATAAATACATCACCCATCACATTTTCAGTATCATCGCATTCTGAAGAAGGTAACTGAGAATAATGTCCAACAGGAAAACATAAGTTGTGGTGTTGTGTTGACTGAACTGATATCTCCTCCTATTGGCTGTGAATTGGTGGGATAAAAGAATAGTCCACCAATCATAGTTCAGTAAGGGACTGCTGTAAATATGTAATATTATATATGACACAACGAACAGGCATGCCATAGGTCCCCTGGGAACGTTGGTAGGATCCCTGTAAGGGCACCGCTCCTGAGAAGGTCCCTGGGGGAGCCGGCGTCCCTGGGAGGATCCTTGGGGGCGCCACTGCCTCTGGGAAGGTCCCTGGTTGCGCCACCATCCTTCGGAAGGTCTCTGTAGGCGCAGCCGGCCTGGGATGGGAGCGTCGCCGCCTCTGGGAAAGTCCCTGAACATTCCACTGTCCCTGGGAGAGACCCTGGAAGCGCTGCCGCCCTTGGGAGGGTCCCTTAGGACGCCGGCGCTCCTAGCAGGGTCCCTGGGGCCGCCACTGCCCCTGGAATCTCCCTCGGAACGCCACCACCCCTGGGAGAGCCCCTGGGGGCGTCGCTGACCCTGATAGGGACCCTGGGGACGCTGCCGCTTCTAGGAGGGTCCCTGGAGGCGCTGCCGTCCCTTGAGTGGTCCCTGAGGATGCTGCTGCCTCTAGGATGATCCCTGGGGGAGTTGTACTGTATTCATAACCTGATCTCCCTAGAAGTAAAGTGAAAGCCAGTACAGTTATTTAATAGTTTTTCCTGACAAGATGGAAATAACGACAAAATAGTGTTATGCCACCTACCCATACCCATGCACACACTGCATAACCCCCCCCCACACACACACACACCACCTACCCACGCCTGCAAGAGTAACAGAAGCGGTATTTACTATTCGTGATCAGGATGTGGTGACAAAGCTGACCCATTCCCTCTCTTCCTCTCTCTTCTTCTGCCTCATTCTTCACCTCGCCTCACCTGCCACCCCCACCCCTAGCCTACCATCCTTTACTGTATATGCCCACACATCACTGTTGCCTCTCCCCACCAGGACACTAACACCACTACCACCACGCTGACACTGCTATCATCACAGTAACACATTACCACCACACTTGCACCAGCAAAACGCGACACTCAACACCACAACCTTCCCCACACCACCACCAACTCATTCCTAACGATCTACACTAATTTGCTGCATCCTAAACACAGTTCACATTAACTTGACCATCAAGCACACACTCTGAGCCCCATCGTGGTGAGGACACACACACACACACACACACACACACACACACACACACACACACACACACACACACACACACACACACACACGCACACACACACACACACACACACACACACACACACACACACACACACACACACGCACGCACACACACAGGATCAGTAAAGAACAGTAGAAACCAGCATCTCTTATTTATTAATGAACTATTGTATATACATTTTCGATATGTGAAGTTACTTACTTAAGAAAGAACAGATAACAAGAATATTCTCTCACATCTCTCCCAAGACTATCACAGGTGACTAATAGAGCAATCTGTGTCGTTTGTCTGTAATGATCACATGAAAATAATCACCCTTAGTGCTTCCTCCTCTCTGGACAAGATAGTGCTATACTACAGATGAATTTAAATAGGTTATATCGTTGAAGAGAGTCAGGTTTATAATGTATATTACCATGTGTATATATGGTCATATATCAGTATATACATTTGGAAAATTTATATTAAGATTTAATTAAATGTCTTGGTGATATTTTGTAAGTCATGTAATTTATATTTTTTATGAAGTAATCGAATCAGTGTCTCTGTATAGAGGGTGTAGAGACGAATCCTTTAGGTGACGACTAAACAAGGTAGAGTAACCCATTAAAATGAACTGAACAGGAATATACATGTGTAATATACATATTTATAATAAGTAATGATAAACAAGCATAGAATATACATATCTACACAAGACGAAGAATATACTGATAGTATTGTATTCATAATACTGTATACACAGGAGCAGATGTCTGAGTATTATTGTGAGATACTCATACTTGTTGTGTTTATAATTACCAAACTATTAAATCAGTCACATAAAAATATTTCGCTTTTTATTATAATATAGGTTATATATATTGGTATAATTTCATATTTGATTATAAAACAATATATATTAACTTGTATTTTTGTAAACTTCAATTTGACCATTTTTTAAATATTTGTAATTATATTTTTCATTTTATTTCATTTTTCTTCAAATTTTTTCCATTATTTTTTTTTTATTTTCCATTATTTAACTTTCATATTTTTTCTTCTTTACTTTTTATGTTTCCAGACCTTGAGGGAAAGCACCAAGAGAGACGATAATTACAGGTAACGACGAGAGAGTGAACCCAAATAATAACTTATGATTTACAATGAAGAAAATCTATTTACACTAGAAAATTTATAAACCAGAATGTACATTTCAGAAATTGTATTCCTTAATTTTGATGTTTACAATTTACATTCCGAAAGGATTTACATTCCAAATAAGACCCTAGAATTTATATATCACTCGAGAATTAGTCCTAGAATTTACACTTCAAAATTTACATAAATCATCCTGAATTTAAACCCCATGGTATTTCCCGAGAGAATTTACACGTCAGAATTTATACCAGAATATTAATCTTAGAATGTATGTAAATGAGAGCTAATTTATTTACACAGTTGGTGAAAAATATGTGATTGTGAATAGTCGTTTTCACTCGAGACTCTGTGTACTAATTGGAACGTGTCAAAAATTCGTGCAGTCAGATAAGGGAATCAATGATGCATTAGAGTAATGTGTGTGTGTGTGTGTGTGTGTGTGAGATTAAGTATTTTGATGATATTGTTAGTTCTGTGTACGCTTAGGGCTTGTCAACTGCATACCTTCTGTCATGCGACCAAACTTTAGCCACAAACAGAGAGAGAGAGAGAGAGAGTAGCGGAGTGTTTATATAAATATGTGCCGAAAGGAGTGTGGGAGTGAGTCTTTGTGAGTGTCAGTGAGAGGAGGCAGGGGAGTGTGAGAGGAGGCAGGGGAGTGTGAGAGAAGGCAGGTGAGTGTGAGAGAAGGCAGAGGAGTATGAGAGGAGGCAGAGGAGTGTGAGAGGAGGCAGAGGAGTGTGAGAGGGTATTGGTGAGGGAATGAGTGTTGAGGGTCTATGTTGGGAGCGGCTATCTCTGTATAATATGTGGCCCTGGTCTACAAGTAGCTAGGATGGGGTCGTAGCTATAGTGGGGTCGTAGCTAGGGTGTGGTCGTTGCTAGGGTGTGGTCGTTGCTAGGGTGTGGTCGTTGCTAGGGTGTGGTCGTTGGTAGGGTGTGGTTGTTGCTATGATGTGGTAGTAGATAGGGTGGGGTCGTTGCTAGGGTGTGATGTTGCTAGGGTGTGGTCGTACATAGGTTTGGTTGTAGTTAGGGTGTGGTCGTGGTCGGAATATAGGGACACTTTACACAATGATGTTAAGGAAAAATTACACCAGGAGGTAAATCAGGAGAGGAGAAAATGAAGAAAGAGGAGGAGGAGGAGGCATAAGAGAGAGTAATGGAGGAGAAAGAGGAAGAAGGGAAGATGGTGGAAGAGATATGTGTGGACCATGGATGTGAACAAAATGATTTAATAAGTGACGCATCTCTCTCTCTCTCTCTCTCTCTCTCTCTCTCTCTCTCCATTTTCACATCAACCTTGAAAATACCCCACAATAGAGACCCTGACTGAGCTGCATTAACAATTGAGAGGAAATACATACCAAATAAACTCTTAAAAATAAACATTACGGTAAATCAACAAAAATAATCCTGAAAATTAAGAAGAAAAAAAAAATCCTATTTTCACTAAGAAGAAACACCAGATGGTTCTAAATAGTTTGGTTTATATAATATTTTTTTGTGCTTCATCGCTCACGGCCTTCAAGCTACATTCACTTGAAGACGTTGAACACTGAAGACTCTAAACTGTTCTTAATACCCCAACTTAAACTACACTACAGCAGTTGACAAGCTAAATAGTTCTTTGATATCAAATATTTATTCATATATGTTTTGTACACGTGACAGACACGTCAGTAAATGACTATTTTTAATATATTTTTTTATTTATATATTTATTGATATATAGAGCGAGCCTTGAGAGTACCGTGCAGACCATGTGTGTGTTGATTATTGAGGTGATATAGAAACCGTGTAAAACAGAGCAAGTGTCCAGGAAAAGTCTTTAGCAATACCAAAATGGATTTGTTTTAAATAAGTACACCTACCAAGACTGACTCGCCTTGATAGCTCCGTGTATCCTATTATTAGTCATACCACTCACGTTGAGTAATAAAGGTATTATATAATATATGTATATATTTACGGGTCACGGTATAACAACAGAGTATAACTCTCTCACACTCATCTTTTATTGTTTCTCAAAATGTAAACAAATAAGTTGTGTAGTTCGTGACGTCACACAGGTGAGACCCTCCACCTGAGTGTGTGAAGCCTACCTACACATAGTCAAGATCCTATAGAGTGACTCGCCTCGGTTCATTCTGATCACAGTTCATCCTCAAATAATGTCACGATTACTTGGTTCAACCTCAGGTGTGTGGCAAGTTCTAAACCTCTATCTTAGTACATGAGCGTGACCAACAAGCAGAGGTCCTCACCCACTTATGTCCTAAATACAATAACTGTCTTTGTTAATCCCTCCAGCGTCTCAGGGTTTCTACTGTCTTATATTAGCATGTCTAATTATCCGATCATTTCAAGCATCAGTTATGCCTGATTATCTGATTATTCTAAGCGTCCGGTTTGTCTCAATATCCGGTTGATGTCCCTAAGCCAGCTAGCTATAGGGAGGGGTCTTGCCGAGGCTGTGGCGGTCGACAAGTCTTGCCTCATTGTTGTCAATTTGAGAGTCTCTTGAGTCGACCTCTTGGTTGAGTGAGACCAACTATCAATCTTATCTTTATTTATCAGGTGTCGCAGTTAATTCACCGACCTCACAGCTGCCGCAGTTAATTCATCAACCACACAGCTGCCGCAGGTAATTCATTGACTTACAGGTGCCGCAGTTAATTCATCGACTTCACAGGAGCCACAATTATATCATCGACCTCAACACTCGACGATAAACGACTTGAATACCTGAAGTACTTTAAATAATCCACCAGCACTCGACGACCTTAACAATTAATTACTTTATATTCGACGAACCTTAACACTCATCTACACTTGAACTGTCGATCAATTTGACAACCCGTCGACTTGAAGTGACATCGACGGGAGCAAACCACTGAACAAGGAACACCTTCAACGATCCTAAATTTTTGATACTGAGAACTCCTTGACACCCTCGCCTTGAACATGTCGGTTTGAACAACAATAATTATCAACGTGAACAATCGTTAGACTGAACAACGAATCAACTCCTAGGGGGGTAGTCGAAGACGAGTGTCGTCCCTAAGGCGGTTGTCTGTGAGCTTGCTACGATCTCCCACCACCGATGATGACGTCAGGGCATCGGCAGCGTCACCAGCAATTTGATGACTTCAGAGGAGCATCGATGACGTCACGATAACGTCAATAAACAATTGATGACGCCAAAGCATCAATGGCGTCACGAAAACAGATGAGGCACTACTAGATCTCATCAAATATGTTCATAGACTGGATGACATTTTCATTCTGGAAGAGAGAGAAAAAATAGTTATCCCTTGACCTACAAACAAAAGACGATCACCTGCTAAGTACAGATTACAATAAAATCATAATCAAAACAAAAGAACCACGATTGAGATTATTTATTATATTTATTCGATCATTTATTTTTGCCACAGTGGTTGAGAGGCTCCCGTAAAACCCACAACGATAAACAAAATGACTGTTATTCCTTGATATAACACCATTGTTATATACCTCGTTCTACTCACAGTAAATATCGGTCATAATAACAATCCTCTTCTCAAATTGACTACAACTATCTTTTTTTATTTTATTATTTACTGTCAATAGAAGAAGTAAAATATCTACATTGTTACTTATTGCAGGGGTACGGGGAGGGGGAGGGGCATCACCTTTGAGCAATATTCCATAAACTCGTCCATCGTCACCACACCATCCTTGTTCAGGTCCAACTTCTGTAGATGAGGGAGGAAGACAGTCAGGTTAAGGTACAGGTAACACACACACACACACACGCACACACAGAGTCACACAGACACACACACACACACACGCAGACTCCACACAGACACGGACAGAAAGAGATACAAACACACAGGCAAAGGCAGAAAGACACACACACACACACACACACACACACACACACACACACACACACACAGAGTCACACAGACACCCACCTCAAACACCTTATCGACGTGGTCTATAGCGGTGCCGTCGTCAATACCCGGAGTTGTTTGGTCACCCATCAGGTCGTATACAGACGTCACTATGTCGATCAATTCCTCCTTAGTGATGTAGCCGTCGTTGTTGATGTCATACAAGCTGTGGGGGATGAACTGGTGAGTGGGAGGTGGTGGTGGTGAGTGGGAGGTGGTGGTGGTGAGTGGAGTAGTGGTGAGTGGGAGGTGGTGGTGGTGAGTGGGAGGTGGTGGTGGTGAGTGGGTAGGGGGTGGTGGTGAGTGGGGGTGGTGGTGAATGGAGGTTGGCAGTGGTGATGCTGTGGTGTGATTAACATGAAGGTATAACGAAGATCAAGTGGAGATATAACGAAGGGCGGGGCAGGACAGGGGCAGGGGGCAGGGGCGGGGCAGGAGAGGCGGGAGGAGGCGGGAGGCGGGGCTGGGCGGGGCAGGGGCTGGGCTGGGCAGTAGAGCTGTTCCCTAACGTAGCGTCTATAACACACTAGACATGAACTTTCACAATCACCAGAAGTAACTTTGGACGTACTTGCCTCAGATGTAAACTACTGTATAGTGATGCGATTGTATAAAAAAATATATTGGTTATGCTGTTTGTAGGAGCGATCACAATGAGGTGTAGAGGGTGTGTGTGTGTGTGTGTGTGTGTGTGTGTGTGTGTGTGTGTGTGTGTGTGTGTGTGATGACTGAACTAACACTATGTTGGCATTGTGAAGGTTGGTAGTGTTGACGTCAATCTTCACATGCTATTGAGATTTTATTTATCTATTAATGACTACAGTCGACAGTATAGGCCAGTGATTGGAAATATACATAGTGATAAGATATATTAATATGTATATTATTTTTCATAACTGGACTATTCAAACATGACAGATATATAGGTCTGCATACATTTAACGTTTTATAAAATAATATACAGTTTTTCAATATATTCAAACTGATGAAATGTTTTGAATATTAACTTTTTTATTTCCCCAAAATGTGAAATAATCCCAATTTACTGCCCAAGTGTTAATGCCTGCCCAAGTAACAGCTCCTGACTACTCACCCCCACCATATTAAATGTCTACTTAGGCCAACTTCTTCCACTGGTAGTTCTAAAGACGCTAATAATTACACCAGAAAAGGTAGGAGTTAGACTGACTATTAGGTCAGAAAAAAACAAAATTTGGAATGACTTTAAACAACAACCAAAAATTCTCACACCGCCATCACTGAATCCAAGGTAGAGGGTTTGGTAGTGGAGGAGGAGGAACTCACTTGAAGATCCAGTTGATCCTCTCCTGCATCGTCCCCTTCAGGAGTACCGACAAGCCCATGATGAAATCCCCGAAGGTGATTGTCCCTGAGCCATCTTGGTCCATCGTCCCGAACACGTAGTGAGCGTACATGGCTGCGTCTGTGGGTAAGACAGAGTAATTATGGCTGTTCTGAGAGAGAGAGAGAGAGAGAGAGAGAGAGAGAGAGAGAGAGAGAGAGAGAGAATCGCTATTACAATGAGTCTCAACAGAAGACAAAGACAAAATATATAAATTCTTCCTTCTCTCACACGTACCTAAAAACATTAAAGAAATATAGCCATAAAATATTAATCAAAGTAATAATATCATTAGTTATAGGGAATATTACTATTGTTATTCTTTATATTATTAAAATAACTAATAGTAATAACAATGCCGTGAATATTAATAAAATTCAAATATTATTTTAAATACTAAGACGTTAATGATAAAAAAAAAGTTGAATAATACACTTTGATAATAATTACAAGAACGAAGACGTAACTATTGTGAAAAATATACCATAATACAACTTACTAGACAAAATACAGTTTATTGATGTTAATAATTCACACACACACACACACACACACACACACACACACACACACACAAGGTCTCAGCAACATACTTCGCCCGCTGCCATCGTCAGGTAGGCCTCCTAGGGGGAAGAATTTGCCGTATATTTCCTTGAAGGTTTCCTCGGAGATGACCCCAGTCGGGCACTCCTGCTTGAACCCTCGGTACCTGGAAGATAAGTATATATGTAGCTGGTGATTAGGTAGCCTATATATCGTATGTTGCTTGAATATTGTGTGTATATGTATGTGGAAATAGCGCATATATTTAACTGTAATATAGGACACACACACACACACACACACACACACACACACACACACACACACACACACACACACACACATACACACACACACACACACACACACACACACACACACACACACACACACAACAATTAGGTCGTGACATTATCATTGATCATAATCATTTACAACACAGACAAAACTATACTTCATTGTTATAGTATGAACAAATCAGTAACATTTGATGAACAAGTTGGTGCATCAAATTTTAATTCATGTAGATTGTAAGTCTGTTGAAATAATAAATGTGCTGCTGGTTCCTGGTTCCAGTTTGAATATACAACTCACGTTATACAGATAAAGTAGAAGTAGTTGCTGTAGTTCCCTAAGATAAAGTTAGTACAATAACTCACATAAACTGTAGTTCCTCTTTGGTGAATCTTGTAGCTTCACTGAGCTGTTCTAACCCCTCTGGTCGGTACCTCAGAGGCACTAACTCAAAGTCCTCAAACTCTTGATCTGTAATAGAAAACGGAACTTTAAGCATCAGAGAAAATGAACCTTCACGGGGCATATTTCAAGGGTAACTAACCAAGATATTTACCATAAAATATACTGTACCCAAATACGCAAATGTATAAGTATGTGTAGAGAGAAGATCATCAAATAGCTTTTATCTTCTATAAGTGTAAGCTATTGAGACATTATTAGAATATTATATGTGTACCAGAGATCATGATATTTTTGCTGATAGTCACAACTTCTGTAACATGTCACAAATACTTCGCCTAAGTTAACATATTCTAACTTGTTGTAATTCAAGCGAACTTAACATTTGCTAATTATGTAAGAAGAGGTTGAATCAACGTAGTGGAATTAATGTGTGTGTGTGTGTGTGTGTGTGTGTGTGTGTGTGTGCGCGTAGAACTCAGGGAAAATGAGCCAAAATTGCCGTGGAAAACAGATTGCCTTCTATGGTCACGACTCATTCAGAGACCTCAAGGCGAGACACAACACAACGCCTGAAACGAGCAAAGTTGGTGCGTGGACGAGAGGCATCTGTTACCAGGACCTTCTCCTACTGTGTCTCTTACAGGCAGGTCTTATAGGGATGGTGCTCACTGTACTGGCACGAACACGAGAGAGAGAGAGAGAGAGAGAGAGAGAGAGAGAGAAAGAGAGCATTTATACGTAACACTCTGGCTTTCTTATTATTATACACTAGTGTTATATGGTATCGGAATATACAGGTCTAGTTGACTAAATGACTCGCTCACTGACGGAGTAAAGTGGATATATACGGAGGCGCATCTTTAGTACTTGAGTCACTGTGAGGAAGAGCGGCAGCTGAACTTACAGACAACTTTAGTGTATCCGTTTAATCTTAGCTCACGGGAGGGAGGTGAGGTAACCACGGTGATTTGTTCTTCCACTTTTAAGGATCTCTGTGCCACTGAAGATCGTATATTGTAAACAGATTTTCAGACTCTCAGTGCTGGTGAGAAGGGTGCACGAGTGGTCAGGGGTTCCTCGGAGAATTGCTGGAAATAGTTACAACAGTGTATACCCCAGACCCGCTCCCACTGTTGTTTGTAATTGGTTTGAGAGCCAGCGGCGGTGAGTTGCCCCTGGGAGTGAAACATGCTGAGTCTCACTGTTTGTTATGAAAACACTGAAGCAGAAATACACAGTTACCTGCAACTACCAATGTATTACGACGAAAACCAAGGGTACTTTGTATACACACACACACACACACACACACACACACACACACACACACACACACACACACCTAAATATAAACTCAGGGTTGAACAACTTTTGAACACTATTATATATATGCATGTGGCACAATATATGACACGCATTACACACACCCCTCCCCTCCTCCCCTTCAACTCCCCCCTCATTCCCCCCTCTTCTCCCCTCCCCTCCTCCCTTCAACTCCCACCCCTCATTCCCCCTCTTCCTCCCCTCCTCACCCCCTTCACTCCCAAATAAAACTATGATAAGAAATAGAAACACTAAACACAAAATCAGACAAAAACAATTCGAAAATTTCCCATAAATTCTAAATAAACAAAAAACAAATTCTGTGAAATTATTAAGGAATAAAAAAAAAAAATTCCATCCCTCCCCCTCAAAAAAATATCATTAATTCTGGAAAGGGTAAAATAAATTCTCACGCAAGAGAAAGTTAAAGGGTTAGGTTAGGTTAGGTTAGGTCTGGTTTTTTTCTAATTCTATCTGTCTGTCTAACTGTCTGTCTTTCTCTGTCTGACTGTTCTTCGTGTCTTTATCTCTCTGGCTAACTGTCTGTCTGTCTGCTTTTCTGTCGTCGTCTATTTGTCTGTCTGTCTCTTTGTCTCTACGTCCCTGTCTTTCTGTTTTTGTCTGTCTATTCGTCTCTTTGTCTATCTGTCTGCCTTTGTTTATGATTACGTCTGTGTTTTTCTTTTTGTTTGCTTGTGTTTATTTTTAATCTCTCTCTCTCTCTCTCTCTCTCTCTCTCTCTCTCTCTCTCTCTCTCTCTCTCTCTCTCTCTCTCCTACATACCAATCTGTCACTATAAGGGTCAAACTCCTCTATCCCCCATCACCCCTCCCCACACCCCTCTCCCTCTCCCCACACCCCTCTCCTTCCCTCTCTTTCCCTCTTCCTAATTTGCATAACACATTTCTTTATCATAGGAGCCAAAAAAAGAAGGGGATAATGTTTCATCCTCCTTCTGCCAGCTGATGAGTGAATGGCATCTGAAGGAGGGAGGCGAGTCTAAGGTAATGAGGCTAATTAGTGAGGTGATCCTTGACGGTAATTAAGAATCAAGGTGAAACTGGAGCCCAACCACAAATACAGGGAGAGGGGGGAGTGGAGGGTGGAAGGGGGTGGGAGGGAGGTGAGGGGTGGGAGGGAGGGAGGGAGGGAGGGAGGATGGGAAGGAATGATGGAGGGAGGGAAGGAAGGAGGGAGGGAGGGAAATCGTTATTTTCTTTGTGTTCTATTTTATTTTTAGAGTTTATACGCACTCGCGAGGTCCCTGGTTCGATGCCCAGGCAGGGTGAAACTATGGGCAAGTTTCTTTACGCCATTTGCCTCTGTCTACCCAGCAGTAATTGGGAACCTGGATGTTAATCGGTTTGCGGATCATGTTGCGGGGTAATGGTTAGCCAGTGCAGTTGGTGAGTTGTCCGGTCTTCTCGGACCGTTCCTTGACACTGGGTAATGCAACTCGTTAACTCAGGGTGTGGTTGTTGTGTTGGCGACAGCTTCTACACCTTGAACAAATTCACGCCTAGGAGGCCCTTGGGCCAGCCATCCTCGTTACACGAGGGTCAACCATTATTACTGTTTATCTACCTAAACCTTCCTTGTTCCTTATACATTTGCGTGTCTGTCTTCCAACTACCCCACCCATCCACCCCACCCACCACAATCATCCTCCCCACACCCAACCCACCCACTCTCCCCATCATACCCATCCATCCCCCCCCACCTCCTCCAATATCCCCATCCACCTGCACTCACTCCCCACCCCATCCACCTCCACCCATCCACGTTCACAACCCATTACAAGGAGTGAATACCTTCTAATAAGCACAGTGCCATGATAATAGGGAACGAGTGCCAAGGGAAAATGAAGTGCCACTCTAGATGACGTCATAATCTTGGTGTATCGCATTGGTTGACAACTCCGTCCTGTGGGTGGGTGGGTTGAATGAATAAGTGGAGTGGGTGAAACAGCGAGTAAAGGCATGGATGGGAGAGTTGTAGAGGGTCGCTGGGAGAGGGAAGGAAGGTGAGAAAGAGGGTGGGGAAAATGGGTGGATGGGTGGTTGTTTGTGTGTGAGAGAGAGGTTGAGGTGGACGGCAGTTAGAGAGGGGTCTAGGAGGGGGACGGTTGAGAGAGGGTCTGGGAGGGAGCAGTTGAGAGGAAGGTCTGCAGGAGGGACGTTGAGAGGGTCACAGGAGGGGGACGGTTGGGGAGAGGGTCACAGGAGGGGACAGTTGAGAGGGTCACAGGAAGGGGGCGGTTGAAAAGAGGGTCACGGGAAGGGGGACGGTTGAGAGGGTCACAGGAGGGGAGGCGGTTGAGAGGGGTCACAGAGGTGGGGGGCCCAGTTTGTGAGGGTCACAGGAGGGGGACAGTTGAAGAGGGTCACAGGAGGGAGCGGTCGAGAGGGTCACAGGAAGGGGGCGGTTGGGGGTCACAGGAGGTGGGAGCGGTTGAGGGAGGGTCTGGAGGTGGGAGCAGTTGAGAGGGTCACAGGAGGGAGTGGTTGGGGAGGGGTCACAGGAGGAGGGCGGTTGAGTGGGTCACAGGAGGAGAGCCGGTTGAGGGAAGGAAGAGGATCACAGGAGGAGGGAGCGGTTGAGGGTCTACAGAAGGGGGCGGTTGAAGAAAAGAGAGAGAGAGAGAGAGAGAGAGAGAGAGTCGCTCAGTCTTATGATAGCCAATCAGATCAAAGTGTCGGCCCTGGAGTCGTAAGTGGAACTCAAGTGGGAGGTTCAGGATACGAGCTCCTGAACCTGAACCTTCTGTCTGATTAAAGATAAATTTCAGTTTAATTATTTTTTCTTACTGATTTAATTTGATGTTTCTTTAAATGTTTAATGACACGTAGGTTTTTGTCTTATCTTGTTTTAATAATCTTTTTAGTCCGTGTGTGTGTGTGTGTGTGTGTGTGGTTTGATGAAAATGACCCGTAAATCAATGTACTCATCGATGATAAACGTGCACTTTTATTGACTGACAGAACAACCATCAGTCCTGAACAAAAGCTGATACCTTCTGCAACAAGAGAGCGGCGGCCCAGCGCAAATTTCGCAATCTAAAGAACGACTGTTTTAAAAATAAAGAGCGTTAAATGCAAAAACTTGCAGATCAACACAAGATGCGAAAATTTTTCAATTCCACTAAAACATTTTATATTGAACAATGCCTTCCGCCAGTGCCAGCCGTAAGCCAACCCGTAAAAGTTGACTGGGAACAAGAACTCAGAAATAAAAGGAAAGACAAAGAGAACCTCATCCATTAGAACCTCGTGTGAACCTTTGCTCAAGACCTCCTGCAGAGGTTCAGTCTCAGGGGAAGGCTCCTCCAAGACTAGTGGTAATAGTTTACAAAAGAGAGAGTAGCCCAGACGCCCAACAACCATGAGTGTCCCTGGAGAGCTGCGCCGCCTCAGTTGAAATATCATAGTCCCCCCTGAGCCGTGCTCTGTAATACAACTTGTTTATTGATTCAGTCAGGCGTTTTATTGTGCATAAAAAATGAATTTAATGCATTTAATTTATCTGTATGTATACGTGTATATTTCAGATGAAGAGTTAATTCACCTCCTACCTGTAGGTGGTATACACGAGGGTAAAGACGGTATTAAAGAGAGCTTCTGTGGTGTTTCACTCGGCCGTAACTCAGACCACCAACAGGTGTTTCCCCCCCACGTCTCTGAGAGCCAGCTGCTTACTTCAACAAACTCGCTGCAGCGCCACAAAACGACCTCTCTTATTGCTGTTTATTCTTTCCATGCGTTATGTATGACGTATCATTACGATTTTATACATATATTT